ATATGAATATATGAGTGCAAATGCACAAAACATGCACGAGAAAAATCTGGGAAAAATGACCAGTTAAGAGTTTATAGATTTTACACTATGATGCACTTAGAATCTGTGAAGACTAAAGTTGTAGGTCTTTTTAACAGCTTACCAACAAATCTTTAATCACCTCATTCTGAAATCGGATGAGAAAGTTATGGCCAAAATACCGAAGGTTATTTTCCTAGTCAGATTAGGATTCCTGGTTCGGGTCAAACGAGTTTAGTTCGGGTTTGCATATATATAATCATGTGTTTTCACGAAAAATTATATCCTTACATCAGAGTTGCAAACCCTAGCAGCCCCTCTTCCTCTCTCTAAATCCCTAGCCCTAAAGTTAAGAATTTTGAGAGCTTTGTGAAGCAAATATCGACACGAGGGCGAGATCATCAACGTGTAGCAAGGGGAAAACGGCTTGGTTGCACTTTTTTTGTTACTGGTTATTTCAGAGGCTCAGAACAACATCTAAGGCAAGATTATCTTCACCCAAACCCTTCCCCATAGTTAAATAACTAGTTAGATGTTTAATATGATGTTGAATATGTGTTTTCATGCTTGAATCTTAACATGATGTGATAAAATTTAAATTTTTGATGTTAAAACATAAACCAATGCTAGATTAGTAATTTTTTTTCTTGCTGTTTATGATAGTATCATGATCATGATCATTAGGGTTTTTTATAATTTCATTTATATATGAGAAATTTAAGTGATGTACTAAATAAATATTTTTTGCAGAAAACTACAGCAATTGTATCATGTTTAACTGAGATTTCAAAATATAAAATAAACTCCAAATTTAATCAAACTAGTGCCAAATGAAAGATATATGTATCTAGTTTCTAAAACAGAAGACAAATCTTAAAAATCATTTGTATAGAGAAAGATATGATCTTTTTACTAACAACATGTCCTGTAGAAAAATAGCTGCACATATATAATGTTTAACTAGAGATTTGGGATAACAAATGAACTCCAAACTGAACCAAACTTATGTCATTTGAAAGATGTGTGAATCTAGTTTTCAAAACAGAAAACCATTTGTAAAAATAGTTTTCTTAGAGAAAGATATGCTTGTTTTACTAACAGATATCACATATGTTTTTCCTGCTCGTTTTGTGGAGCTGTGTTGCGCCGTTTTGAGGTGCGTTCGCGGAGTTTTGAGCCGCTTGATGTTATACGTATAGTCGTGAATATGTTATGTTATATATTTAAGAATCCCAAGGGGATTATGATAAATTTTGATTTGATCATATTTGAATTAGATATAGTTCATATACATGTTGGATGTCGTTGATGAGCACAGCTTAGTACTATATAGGATAGTGCGTCGACACATCAAATATACACGGTTTATACATGAGGTAACTATCATTGATGAGCATAGCTCAGTATTATATGTGATAGTGCATCGACATGCCAGAGGTACAAATATTTATATGAGGTGGATATCGTTGATGAGCTCAGTTCAGCACTACATGAGGTAGTGCGTCGATATTCCACATGTACAGGTCATTGAGTCGGATTTTAGGAGGCTTGATCTAGTCGTCCGTCCCGCACTAGGGTGCGATGAGGCTCGTAATCCGTATGTATAGGATGCCTATTTGGTAGTCCGTCCCACACTCATATTATGCACTAAGATCGCGATGAGACTAATGAGCCGTGTACATAGTTCAGGATACCTATAGGGTAGTCCATCGCACTGAGATAATTACTTGATAGCCTAAGTATGACATATGCCGATTATAAATACGACCTATCAGTGAACTATATAACTGAGATACGTTACTTTTGAAAGTATACAAAATTATGTGTTGGTATTTTATTCTATCTCTCCAGTGATTGTGGAAGATATTATAAATATGATGTGTTGATATCTTATTATTTTTACTGTCTTTTTTTTCTTAGTTGGGATCAATGATTAGAGATTCACAATTTGAGACTTATGGTATATACATGAGGGTTTCCTTATTTAGATTATTTCGTTCGACGTACCAGTCTCGTGTTATGGATCTCTAATTATTGATTTTATTAGATTGTTTATTCTTATTTCGGTATTAATATTTAGATGTTTATGATTCGGGACATATGGTATATACATGAGGGTTTCCTTGTTTGGATTATTTCGCTCGACATACTACGTCTCGTTTTGTAGGTGTCTGAATATTAATTCTGCTATATACGGAAAAAATGATATAGGTAGACTATGCTTAATAGATAGAGCCTCCACTCCATCCTAGCAGCCCTTTCCCTAGGGGCGGATGTGGGTAATCTTGTTGTAGCGCTCTGACGCTCTTGTTGTTGTTTCTTTTTCTTTTAAAAACACCCTTTCAGGTAGCTTGGAGTTCCGGAGAGCCGCAGGATGACGGAGTTCTTGCATAGTCGCCGTCCATAGAGATTTATTAGAGGCTCCATTATAGTTTTAAATTTTATTCAGACTTAGAGTTAAGTTTCATTTTGTAAAGGCAATGAGCCTTAGTTCGACTTTCCGTTTTGATTCATGTTGAGACATCATATGTTATTTCAGACTCCATATGTATTTCAGTTTATTTTCAGTTGAGACATGACCTTTATTTATGAGATATCATCCTCTTTATCATGTCTATTATTATTGTTCTACTTCTTTGCCTGTTTTGTACCTACGCTTTTATTTGATCCCACTAGAGGATATTACTGTGATTGGTGAAACTTGTTGTTGCACATTGTGGATGCATGACAGGTTTGACATCTCTGAGTTCACCTTGGACTGCAGCCATGTGTGAAAACAGGGGCGTCACACAAACACCCCCTAAATGTAGGTCAATATGAAGTCAAGTTCAAGATCTCAAAGCTCTGTATCAAGCATTGAGATGGTTGATGAGAAAGAAGTAAGGGCTTGCTGTTGTCAATCTATGGCTCCCCTTCAAACATCTTGACCCAAGAAAATTTTGATAGGAGGTTCTTATAACTACCCAATTGTAGGGTCTGGATCCAAATGTAAGTATTTTAAAGGACAAATTTGTCCGTATTTTAAATGGAAATATGACCTTTTTCCTCCACAAGTTCAGTTTGTGATCAACAAGCTACGTGAGAAGGAGGAGCTTAGACGTGATTTGAAGAATGAGGGTGGACAGAATTTGGTAATACTGGAGGAGAAAATGAGAGAAAGGAAGCAAACTAATACGAGATTGATGGAACTTGAAGCATAAATTACACTTATCTTGATTAAAATTGAGACAATGAGGTTGGAGGTTGAGCATGGAGCTCAATTGAGATTTTTAATGCCCGGTTAATTTGGGGAAGATGAAGCACCGGACTTTTTTCATCCCTCAACAATAATTATTCAGAGTGATAAAACGAAGAGGGGGTATTTTTGTCTTAAGATAATATGTTAACGGCGTCATTTACTCTCAACGGAAATAACTTTGGGCCATTTATTTAAGGAAAATTGCTTCAAGGCCCCAAATTCCAAGTTCCAATGTGTCCCAGTCCCTCCTATTTTTACTAATGTACTGCAGCTCCTTTTTTTTTTGAAAAAATTGTGCTCAGGCCACCTCCAGCTCATGCCAGCTCATGATTTGACGCAGGTCCACCTAAAATCCCAATTTTACCCTTTCTCTTTCTCATGTCAGCTCATGCTAGCTCATATTAACTATTATAGGTAACATGTTAGCTATTATATATAACATGTTAACTATTACAGTTCGCATATTGAGCTCAAAACGAAAATCATTGGCACCTCCTTCTCCTCCCCCATTGGCACGTGGGCCGCGTTCAGCATCTCCGCCAAGCCCTATGACCGCCGCCGCCCACGTGAAGTTTCTCGGCATTTGAAATTACCTCGTGTGCTCTTCACTCGCCCTCTTCTTCTTCTTTTTCACCCTATAGTTGTGCCCACTTTGTATGGAGCGGGGGAGGGAGACGACGACGCTTGGGAATGCGGCCGGGGTTGACACGCCTGGGGAAGGCTGGCCAGCGACTAGAGCGGGGGAGGGAAGGCGGTAGCGCTCGGTGGCGGGCGGAGGGCAGCCAAAACGGCCCGCGTTTGGTAGTAGGCGTACGCGGTACTAAACTAAGAGAACAAGATACTTGAATCCATTGCCACAAAGTTCTCCAAAATAAGGATAACAACTCTAGAATCCTCGATCGAGTGGGGAGGAGCGTGGGGGAGGACGGATCGGGCTGTTAATTTGGCGGCGGGAGCGAACGCGGAGGGTGAAGTGTAGGGGGCGAGGGAGAGGCCGGTAGCCTCGCGATGAGGAAGAGGCCGAGGGTCTTGGCGAAGGGCGCCACTCCGGCAGGAAGCGAGCGGTGAGAGGTCAGCCAGTGGCTCGCTTGGGGGGGAGTCGCACGAAAGAAAAAGATTGGCAAGTGTTGCTCGCATTTGCCGGCATGGCGGAGCCCTGCGTTCCGGGACGTCGCGTTGCAGCCAACGGACATGTTGGGAGGCAGAGGGGGACCGGAGGAGGAGGAGGGAGGTGTAGGGGAGAGGGTAAAATCAAGATTTTGGAAGAAAATGCATTGGAACTTGGGGAGGTGCGCTGGAGGGGTCTGGACATAATTTTTTCAAAAAATAAGGGCTGCAGCACATTGGTGAAAGTTGGAGGAGCTGGGGCATAATAGAACTTGGAATTTGGGGTCTTGAAGCAAATTTTCCTTTATTTAAAATTTTTTATAATGATCATTTAATAAGTGATAAAATGAGAAACTTTTTTATGCAATTTAACCAATCCATAAACGTACTTTTTTCCCCTGCTTGTCACCCATTTTCAGCTTCTCCAAGGTCTTGAGGGGTATTTTCGTAAGTTTTAGATTAAGAGTGTACCCAACTATGATTTCAAGATCTAACTTAAAAATTAATAGAGATCAATTTCTTTTTAAGCAGCAATTTTTTTTCTCATCAGACAAGCGCCCTCCTCTGTCTCATTCACCACGTCAACACAAACCCTAGAAAATCCAAAAAAAAAAAAAAAAAACCCTCAAATCCCTCCTCTGTCTCATTCACCACGTCAACACAAACCCTAGAAAATCCAAAAAAAAAAAAAAAACCCTCAAATGCCAAAGAGGAAGAAACCTGGTCCCAGGCCCCGCCATCGCCGATCCCAAAACATGGCTCATTCATCCCCTCTCCAAACCCTAGAAGAAGAAGAAGAAGCAAGCGATCAGCATCAAACCCTGGAAGAAGCAGCAACCGATCAACCCCATACCCTAGAAGAAGAAGAAGCAACCGATCAAGCGGAAACCCTAGAGGAAACAGCAACCGATCAACTTCAAACCCTAGAAGAAGCTTATCAAGAAGAAGGATCAGCTGCTGAATCCATCAAAGAAGTCGAGGAAGGAGAACAAGAATCAAATGAATTAGGCGAAGAGATCAAGGAACAGGAGAAATTTGAGGAAGAAGAGCAGGAAGTGCCTCATCCTGGAATCTCCGTCCCTGATCCTCGCCGACGAAGCAGAAGGAAGCCAATAACGGAAGCGCAGCGTGCGTTCGCTCAGCAAAAGCTCGCTCTTTTGCAAGAGAATTTCACGCCTGCTCCCTTCAAGCCGAGAAAGACCGTAGATTTTGCCGCCCATGAAGAGCTCTTTCGTGCTCTGAATCTATGGGAGTTTGTTAACCTTGATTTTGACACTGACATCCGAACTGATCTGTTGATTTTGTTGATCGCCAATTACGACCGGTCCCAGCACCGGAGCTTTGTGGGTAATGTTGAGATCTCGGTTTCAAGATTGGATCTTGCTTGCTCTCTGAAACTCCCTCTTGAAGTGAGAGAAGTCCACGAGGATATTTTTGCAAACGAAGCCTCAAAAGAGGTAATTGAACAATTTTTGTCAAATTATATTCTTTTGGAGGATGAGGATGAGGACGATATGTGCATTTTGCCGGAGGAGCTTGTGGCTGTGAACCAGTTGGTGAAGGCTGGGCATGCGAACAAGGTTGATTGGGCTGAGTTAATGTGGGCCTTGGTTGAGAAGGAACTTTTGGAGGCTCCGAGATTGAGTTATCATTATGCTTCACACCTTCAGTGTTTGATGAAATTCCAGAAGTCTGGGTTGTTTGAGAAAGAAGAAGGGATGGGGGCAGTACCTGTTCCTGAACCGGATTCTTCATTAGAAGTTTCAGATTCGATGGATGAGGATGATGTAGGTGATGAAGAAGTCGGGGGCGGAAGCAAGATGAGGACATTGGACGAGTTTGGGGATGCAGGCTTGAGATTGGAGATAGGTGAAAATGGGGATTTGATGAATGGTATTGAGGATTTTAAGGGAACCGAAGAGGGGGGTCCGCCTGATGGTTGTAAAGATGAGGGTTTTCAGCATTGCTTGCGGAGATGCAGCTCGAATGAAGCTAGGAGCATGGAGTTTGAGAATCTTTGTAAGGTGGAGCAGATAGAGAGGGAGGATGAGTTTCCAAATTTGGAGAGGTTAACATCGACTGACCTTCTACATACAATGGATCCAAGGATGAATCCTCTTGAACAAAGTACTGGAGATTTTGTGTCAATGGGCGTAGATGGGAATAGGAACGCTTCAGTTGATATCGGTCCGAGTGATTCTCTCTTCTATGAGAATAATGGCAAGAGGCATATTGACAATGTTGATGTCGATGAGGATGAATGCGGTGGGTTCCGCCAAGATAATCAGCAGAAGAGGATGAGGTGTGGTGAGCTTTGGGAGGAACGAGCACCGTCAGGCTTTGATTCGTACATGGAACAAATACAATGTACAATGAGAAAGGCTAGGATGCTATATGTCGAAAAAGAACAGGCTTGTCTGGATGGCCATTTACATCTCCAATACTTGAATGAGATAATTGAGCAAAAGGATCAGATCATTCATTCATTGGAGAAGACACAAGTGGAAGAACATCAGAGGTGGCAACATACTGTTCAGGAATTTGAGCGCGAACTCAACAGCGTGGCTGGTCTAGTTGTTGGTTATAAACAAGCTTTGAAGGAAACACAGAAAAATTTTGAGGAATATAGAAAGAAGTGTCCACAGGGTGATGTGACTCTCTATAGGGATGTTCCCGGCTCTGGTGGTTTAGTCCTTACTTCTAGAGAGCTGGAAAAGCTGCGGGTGGAGAAAGAGGAAGAGATGCGACAAATTGCAGAGGAGATGATCAGTGCTTTTAATTGTGAGTGGCTTGTAAAATTTGAAGACTACAAAGATGCGGTCATGGTGTTGCATAGGAGGCTAGTGGAGCTCGAGGGGAATATAGAACTTATGAAGGAAACCTTTGCTGAAAGGAAAGGTAAGGATATGTGATTGTTTTGATATTACATTATGCTAATAAAGCTGTAGCATATTATTGTTTTTATATGTGCTTCTGTTTAAGTAGGAATATATTTACGGCTTTGTTATCGAAATTGTTGAGGATATCTAGTTATGAAACAAATTTATTTTAGTGATTACATTTGTTTTTAGCCTTTTTTATGCTAAAGCTATGACTACCTACAGGAGGACCTAAGAGTCTTATAGAGATGTTAAATTGGGATCCAACGCTAGGGTTATTTCAGAAAATATACTACCACTAATCAACAGAAGCAGAAAATTACGGATCTCCATGGAAATTTATGAACATGACTAGCTTCTGCGAAGCATGACTTGACATCACAGACAGTTAAATAATATTTCTACTTGAAAGGAAAGAAAACCCTTTCTAATCCCAACAATGACATTTGCCTTCTGATTAGGGATTCTTTCTTCATCATGTGCTTTGTAAAAACAGGCAGAGAATTGAACTATTAAGTTAACTGGGAATCTGTATGTTCAAATTTTCTGCAAGCTTTCAGGGAGTAAGAGTGGTTTAACTCAGAGAGGCGTTTGATAAACTTGGGCTACTTTTATGTCTTTTTAGTCTTCAATTGTAGAACATATATGTGCTAAAATAATCTTTATCTTCTTGTCCTTGAATTACAAACATTTTCTTAACATCTATTCAAGGTTTTGAATATCAGATAATGGGAAAAATCACGCACAAAAAATCCATATCAGATTGCAGGTATCAAGGAAATATCGGGGATATGTAGTAAATATCAAATTGCCACATAAGATGATTAAAATGTAATCTAAACGTACTTAATGAAATCGAATCATACAAGATATTATATATATATATA